ACAGTATAAGTATGAAGATGTCAGGTGATAGACTTTTGATGTGTTAAAATGAATTCCAAATGAAATTCACCAAGGCGTCTAGTGTTTCTGTTGAAATAACACAAAAAGAAAAAAGAAAAAAAGGCTGGATAACGAATAAGAGAATCAGGGGTGCCTTCCTTTGCGGCCCGGCGTGTGACCAACATCTGGAACCCTTCCCTTCATGGTGACATCACACAACCAGCCTAACCTTTGCCCCCAAAATGGCTAATTAGAAGCATTTCCCTCTGTGACTGCAAGGTTCCCTCTTTCTTTCTCAATCCCCCTTCTTCACCTGTTGCCTTGTGTCACTCTCAGTGTGACCGCAGCTCTTAGAGGGTTTCCGAAACACTTTATCATTCTCATAAAACGTTGCTGCAAAAAAATCCCACTCACAAACATTGGTAAGTAGCCTACTTAGATCTTTGGCTGGTGTTCTCTATCACACAGAAATAAAGCTGTATTTCACCGCAGACCATAGTTACATTACATCACATCTTATTGCTATACAGGGAATAGAAAAGGAGTCCCTTGACTTTTCTTTTATAAGCTATTTTGGTTTGGCTCCCACTCCATTTGTCTTCTTGTTTCTCTTATGCATATATCCGTGTATCTTGGAGGTGATCATCAATCTAATGGACTCTATTATTACTTTTCCTCTTAGTGCTTTGATTTTTAGCCCACCCAGAAGATTAATCCCCCTCTTTGGCCTCTTTTCTCTTTCTTTATCCCTTCACTTATCTGTTCCGTGCTTTGTGCTTAGTTTGGCAGCATCTTAGTCTTTTTTATTATTGTTACTTCCCTAAATTTCAAACCCATTTATTGAGTCTCTCCTGTTACCATTTACCTTATTTCATGTCATAAACAAAATATAGCAATTTATTATTTGTTTGTGACTGATAAATCAAGCAGTTGTTTGTTTCAACGGGCTGCGACACCGGAAACAAAAGAGTTAAAAGGTCACCTCTCTGGAGACACACTTCTTATCCTTGCACGCTTAATCTGTGCATGCAAAGACAGTGTTTTCACATTCTTGAGCAAACACACACTCATGTTAGTAACATCATCAGCATCTTGTGCTATGTTGGTGAAAGGATGCTAAAACAATGAAAAAAAAAACAAAAGAAAAAAGAGCACAGTAAAAAAAAAAAAAAGGATAATCACAGGCGCTACGTATTTTTCTAATGCGATTCCAGAAGATCTGCAGTTGTTTGGACTTGGCCCTGAGTGGGTTGGTGCAAAGAGCATCAGTGTGGAATGATGTGGAAGGCCAAACAGAGGATTGTGGGTGCTAGATATCCATTACATCAGAGGGGACCAAGGCGCCAGTTTGCCATTTGAGAAGTGACACCCCCTGTCCTTGCACTTAACTGCCAGGATGTGTAGAAAGCTTTGCGGAAACAGACCAAAATAAAAATACTCACCTTTTTCTTATGTAAAAGTTCAGAAACACTGTTGTTAAGTATTGCTCATAATTTCCAGTGCTTCTCAAAAGTATTTATACTTCCTGGAACTGTTTTTCTTTTTTTTTTTTTTTCATTTTGTCACATTACTATGACAAACATCAATGTATTTGCTTGGATTGTATTTGATAGACCTAAACAAAAAGTAGAACATCAATGGAAAATGGAAAAGGATGAATGGTTTTGAAACATGAAAACTTAGGTAGGGTTTTATGATTTATATTTTGATACTCCTTTATAAAACCAATTGCAGCTGGATTCTAAAGTAACTGTTCTATTGAAGTGAATAAACCTTTGTTATATAATCTCATCATGAATACTAGTATCCAAAGGAAGACTCAGAGATTTATCACTTGTCAAGAAATTAGCTGTGAATTTTTTTTTTATCATTAATAATTAATCATTTGAAAATGTTCTTTTCTTTTTGTTTGCAACTTGGTATATTCCTTTGCATTTAATCCTTCCCTAATGGAGCAGTGGACTGCTAGCACTAGGTAGCATTCTGTGGCTAAGGTTTTGCTCTGGGATCCAGAGTGGCAGTCTGCGGGATGTGAAGCAGGGAGTTTACAGTCTTCCCAGGATGTGAGGTCTAGGTTAGGGTATACAACTATAACCTTCTAAGATCCCAACACCTTGTTGAGCATTGTTCCTTTGGAAAGACATCTACAGTAGCAGCCATTCAGAATGGCCCTTCCAATTCAAACATCAGCTGAATGGCAGCCCACTCCCCTGCAACTCCCAGCAAAATTCCCTCCATGAACCTGTCAGGGTTCGGTTGTGGTTTAGAGGAGCCAAATGCAGAGGCAGGGAGGCAGAGGTGATTTCTTGTTGTTTTAATTGGTGAAAACAGTAAACAAAGGCAGGAATCCAAAAATCCAACTAAAATCAGGGGGAAACAATCACAAGGAGCCAGGGTTAGATGAGATAGATGACAACAGTGACGAGGAACCAGCGACAATGAGGAACCAGCAAGGAGTGACAGCACGGGAGAGTATATATGGCTGACTGAATAAAGGCAGGGCTAACAAGCTGATACTGAATTACAGGGTCTGACCAGGAGATGGTGCTTCTCTTTAGATCTTAATGTCCACAAATGATGACAGAAAGAATATTTTAGTACAAAAATTGATGTTTAAAAGGGAATTGTAGGGGTCCATCCAAGGACCTGCCAAGGGCCCATTAAGGAAAGTGGGGAAATTTTGAATGGCACAACTTTAAAGCTTGGCTAGAAAAAAAAATCCTTACTTAGTAGCCTAGAGGCTTTTGGTACTTCTGAAGAAGCTTCAGAGATCCACAGCTCAGATAGGAAAATTTGTACAAACTATTTGTGCAAACCTGGCTTTTATAGGAGAAAGGTATAGAAAAAAAAGCTGTTGTTGAAAGACAGCCATTAGGTGCCATTTTTAACTTAACATCAAGTCTTGAAGTGGATACAGCAGTGGAGAAAAAGTCCTATGATCAGTTAAGAACAAAACGGAAGAAATTGTCCAGGGAAAAAAAAAAAAGAAAATCACAGTATGGAGGAGTTATTATGTAGTAGCATTATGCTGTGGGAATGCTTTTCTTAAGCTGGGGCAGAGAAGCTGTCCAAAGTAGATGGAAGGCTGGATGGCGGTAAAAACCATGAGCTTCCAAGAGAAAAGCTTTCTGGATCTGCAAAAGGCTTATTGGTTCACCTTTCAGCAGAACAGTTACCATAAACATACATCAAGGGACAGAGTTGAAAAGTTCAGATCACAGCATCTTTATGTAATAGTATGATCCAGTCAAATTCCAGACCTAAACATTGATGCACACATGCTGCTCAGGTAAACAGATTTGTTATAAGCCATTTAGCGAAGATGAGGAAGCAGAATTTCAGTCTGTAGAGTTTTGAAGCTGATCTTTCTATCCATCTGTATTTGGATAGAAAGTTGATTAAACTAATAACTAAGAAGGTTAAATACTAATTATATTCCAGACAAAAACAATGTTCCTTTTGTTTTATTATTTTGCTTTACTTTGTGGAGGTCTATCGCTGTAACCCCACACCTCAATAATTACTATATACAAAAGAAATATATTTTGTGTGAAAATGCTTTTTAATACCTATAGTTCCCTTTTAGTTTAACAAAAACCTTTCCATGTAATGAAAACAGCTGTAAACAAAGATGTATTTATCTTGTCTTCACCTTTTGAAAACAGGTTGCATTAAGACACATCTTTATTAATTAAAAATAGGACACATATTTTCTACTTAATTTATTATGACTTTATTTGTTTTAATGCAATTATTTTATGTTTTTTTTTTCTATTTAGTGTCTCTGTAGTATTGTAGTAAGTAATGTATTGACAGATGTGCTGATTTACGTCTGTCAATACAATACTTTATCTACATTTACATTTTTCTTTACAATGTTCATTGATTAACATATCTCATTTTAAAGTTCATTCTATCAAAAGAAAAAAGTTAAACAATTAAAATAATAAATAATGAGATATTTGAATTAGTTGTTCAAACAATTTGTTTATGTCCATCAGTCTTTAAGGTTTATATATAATTAATTTACATCACCATCATTACAAAATTGAAGATTTGACCTACTGTAGAATGCTCATGCTTTTTAAAAATATATCCACCACTTTCCTTTTGGCCCTTATTGCACCCTGTAGTTTAGTAGGTTATGGTTATGAACATTTGCCTTACCTAATATTCAAGACATGGTGTGCCTAGGGGTTTTCTTGCATCTTAGAGGCCTATAATCACAAACTCTTTCGGATGATTTGAACATAAGACTATAGAAGAAAATATAAAAAATGCGTCTTCCATTCTCACAGGACCTTCACACTTTATTAACACATTGCCACATTCAAATAAATAAGATGTCCCCTGCCCGTGGAGCTAGAAGCTATTTCCCAACAGCATTATTCTAAAAATCGGATATATTGCAGTTGTACCTGTTTAATAACCTAAATTTTCATCTACTTGTTCTGTTGTGATGTATAAACATGGTTTTGGCTGACTGGTTTGAGGGTTGATTAATTCCCAGTCCTATAGATCTACCCTCCACACTTTTTGTTTATGTTCAGAAGTTTTAGTTGAAAATTATATTAACAGGGTTTTATAGTTGTGATCTGGCTATTTACACTTTTCACTTTTGAAGCTAAGTTAGGATGTTTTTTGTTGTTGTTGTTTGTTTGTTCGTTTCAAACCTCATGATGCATCTTATCATCTAAGTTAGATAAGTATAGGTGTATTTTTCCCCCAGACCGTATAATGTCTTCTCTAAAATCTGCATTCCCTCCATAAAATGCTTGTATCCTATTTCTGATTCCCGAATAAATTCCAGTTCTTCAAAAATGACCAATGTTGTTCGTTTTATTGGATTAATTAAAAATGTATTGCTTTGTTTTGCCTGGTGAATCATCCAAGGTCAATCGGGGTCCTGGAGATTTTGGGGAACCAAGTCAGATCAGCTCTGTCTCCTCCCAGCATGAGGAAACGCCCTCTGTGCTCTTATGGAGATAAAAACAGTTCCTTTTCTGCTTCTTTCACTTAGTTTGTTCATGAACACCCAGGAGTGTGTTTTCACATCCCCGTTCAGTTCCGTCCAGAAACAGTTGTCCCGCTCGTATGCGTTGAGCCTCCTGCCCAGTCCTGCATCACCATGTCCACCGGATCTCTAAGCGACGTCGACGACGAACTCTTGGATGGCATTCTAAAGTTCGGCTCCTGTGGTAAGGACTCCAATGAGAGCACAGAAGAGAGCTCTAACTGTGAAGGCAGCTTCGCTACTGAGGGCAGAAGGAAAGAAGCGTCCGGCAAGAAGCGCAAGACCGCGTCGCGCAAAAGCGCACCGAAGGGTGTGGCGCAGCAGGAGGGCAAACAGGTGCAGAGGAACGCAGCTAACGCGCGGGAAAGAGCCAGGATGCGAGTCCTGTCCAAGGCCTTTTCACGGCTGAAGACCTCCTTACCGTGGGTGCCACCGGACACCAAGCTCTCCAAACTGGACACGCTGCGCCTGGCGTCCAGCTACATCGCACATCTCCGACAGATCCTGGCCAACGACAAGTACGAAAACGGATATACGCACCCAGTTAACCTGGTGAGACTCAACCTGCAGGCTTTATTAAGAGTGCACATCATGTCAGCTGCAGTAACTAAAATAGTTTGGTTCTTAGAAAATGATGGATTTCAAAATTGCTAAAATGTTTAGAAATACATTGGGCTCTAGATGCTGCAAGTTAAATTGCACATAATGATATAGTGTGGTTCATTTTAGTGGTTGCATTTTTGCAGGGCTTTAGCTACTTATCTAAATTATAGCGCTGAAAATTTGCAGAAAAGTGCATAAAGGGAGAAGACAGCCTTCTTTAAGGGATTAGTTCTTAGACTATTTAATATTTAAATGAAGTTAAAATATGTTTAAAGAGTATGCAATTCTTTATGTGGGCATATTTATGCTGTTTCCAACAATAAACCAGTTGTGCGTAATGATTTCGTTGGATCAAATTAATGTAAAATAACGAGAATGAAACATAACGACATAAAATGTTCTTATATAAAGTTAAATTAAAAATGTATTAATAACATCATGAGGAGATGTTGTTATGACCATTTGTTGTTTCTTGATCCGAATCCAAACTGACTTTATATTTCCCCTCCGCAGACGTGGCCCTTCATGGTCGCTGGAAAACCGGAGACTGATCTGAAGGAGATGCTCAACTCAACACGGTTATGCGGAACAACTGCATCCTGATGTATTATTTTTATTTTTTTTCTCAAAAGACAGAAAACAAAAACTTCCAGCTTTGACTGAAATACAGTCTCATCTCCACAGACTGAGAGTGGGAATAACGGAGAGAGCGCATCCTCTCAATCTCTCCATAACGTTCCCGTAACTAAACAGATCAATTTATTTAAACAGAGATTGTCTTTGCTGGTTCAAAGACAATCTTTCTGTATTTTCCTTTCTACTTTGTCATAATCTACAGGTGTTTTCTCCTGGTTTAAATGTCTGTACAGAATGCATGTATATAAAAATATTTTTCCAACTTTTAAACCCCGTGTTCTGAATTACTATTTAATATTTTTCTGATATCCATGTGTGGGCCAGTCAGTTGACCTGGTCACCCCTCTTATCAGTGTTCGCATTCAGAATAGCAGAACCATGAGCACCGACAAAGCGGGGTTCCTGATAAGGCCCTCACTGTTGTTTCTGTGAGATAACTTGGTTACCGTTGCATAAACAAACCTCTCTTGCAATCAGAGATTATTCCAAGTCCCAAAATGGACCATAAACTCATGCTTTTAAATCTGTGCACCTCTAGATCTTTGTTAAATAAAAAAAATCTATATTTTATGGTTGTTAATTGGATTTAATTTACCAAATTATATTTATTTAGACCAAAGCTTGATTTTTATCTCCTCCTTGACTCAACCAATAGTATGAGTGAATCTTAAAAGAAGAGGATAACCTGCATCCAAAGTTAAAGCCGCCCAGGCCAGTTGTTTTAATTTGCCCGGGTTATGACCGCAGTGTTTACATCATGCCGACAGTTATTTATGCACACACCGCCTCTCTCGCTCTCCCTCTTTGGCCTTTTCTCAAGAAAGGATCCCAAAGAAAAAGTGTTTGCTTACACCGCGTTTTTTTTAAAGGAATCCCTGAATATTTACATTTTTTGTTTTTGTTTTAGTGTCTCTGGGTGTGTCTATTTTCAATCAGAAAACAAACCCCACTCTGACAAGAAAATGCAGCTCCAACTGAAATGAATTGCTTCAGTAGTTAAGTATTTGAATTAAGTTATATATTTAACTTGTCAACTTTTAAACTAAAAAAAACCTAAAATAAAAATAAATCTAAGAGTTTGCTATTGTTTTGTTGCATTTTTCCAATTGTTACCAATCAACATGGCCTCAGGGTGATAATGTCATCAAATAATGGAAAATAACAGTCTCACTCTGTTCATGTTTTGTGATGAATAAAACATTTGGGACAATATCTTTAAAGTAAAAAAAAACTTATATGATCGCAATTTTCCAATAATGATGGGATTTCTTTTAAGTATAATATTTTATTGAGTAATAATTGAAGTAGTATGAAGTAATTGGCTGATTTTTTAAACACTTTTTTGGCTTATTTTTTCAGTTTTGAATACATTTACACCCCAAAATACTGATTTTCTCTCATGTTCAAAAAGCTTTCATTGTATATTTGATTCATCTTTGTTTTGGATCAGCATTAACCCAATTTGTGTTTTTTATTATAAGTTTATATTATATGTCTAAAAGAAGAACAAGTTTCCCTTTTCAACTGTAATTACTTATCTTATCTTGTCCCCTTAGACAGGACACCAAAGATCTTCTCCAACAGGAACAATATGATAGAGTGCTTTAGCAATAAAAGAGTCCTGCGGACATCTCTTAAGGGACCCCCACCTAATACATCAGCAGCAGGATGGCAGGGGCCCGCAGCCACCCTAAAGGGACCACCGTGAAGAAAATAAACTTGGCTGTGGCTTTGCTGGGGCCATCTGCAGAAAACCAGAGAATAGGGGAAGAGAGAGAGAGGGAGAGATTTGTTGAAGAGCATGACTGGGATTCCCATACTAATTGTTTTGTTGGACTTTTGCCCAAAACGGGATTTGAAAAAAGTAAGCTCATAGAGGGGAAGACAGAAATCCCATTATCTTCCAATTGATCCAATCAAGTTTCACATCTCTTTAATTGTTGTTATCTTTTCTAAACACTAACTGTATACATGTAGATAATATATCCACTGCTATTCAACTGAGATACTGTAGGATTTACAATCAAACAATCACTTGTCAAATTATTCACATTTTTTTTCACATGTTTTCATGTTACAATCAAAACCATTTTTCCCCTTTTGCTCAAACAAAACTTGCTGATTATGAAGTGAAACCAGAAAGAAATAATTGCTTTAAACTTTTACAAATACAATCTGAAAAGTGTGGCTAGCAAATGTGGGTCCTTTGCCAACTTTAAAGATAAAAAACACCAACTTAAGTCATTTTTATTTAGACAGGATTTTACATAAGAACTCAAGTTGCTCAACATTTATTTAGTTTTTGTCTTTTATTATTTATTTTACCTGTGATGCCCTTTGTGCTGTATAAATTAAAATAATTACCTTGAGCGTCCATTTCATTATAGTTCTGCCAAAAAATGCATTGATCTAAGCAATTTATTTCCAGCTCTGGGTCTATTCCTGGTTGTTCTGCTGCTGAAAGTTGAACCTTTAAAGTCCAAAACAAGTTGTTTTTTTTTTCACAAGGACTTCCGTGTATTCCATTCATCCTCCTATAATCCTCCTATAATCGTTGATCATCTTCAATGCCCTCCATTAATAATCCCTGCTGCCAGTGCTCTAAGTGAAAAAAAAGAGAATTGTGTGAGTTCCCCTTAATGGCATACTGTACAATATTGAAACATAGTATTGGTATTGTTTTATGTAGATCTAGTAATGTATAGTTTTATTGTTCAGAAATGAAAAAGAACAAAGCCATTTCTATCATAATTATAGTTAATCATAATAATTATATTTAAAAAAGACACAAAGCATAATATCCAATATATATATAATAATTTTTTTTTTTTTTTTACAAAAAGGATTTACTCTTCTCTAGACTCTCCCAGCATGTAGTTAAGTCATAAAAAAGCTACAATAGAGGTGATACTTTAACAAAGTCAATGGTTGAATAATCAGAAACAGCTTGGCAATGGTAACCTTAAAAATACCTTGCAATTAGGGCTGTCATAGAATGTATATGCACATCAGTTTCACTTCTTTTTAATGGCATATATTTTGTTTAAAGACAGATAAAAGCACATGCTTCGGCACATTTTGGATCTCCGGTACGTTTGAACATTATTTTGTTTTCTGTCTCAGTTCTTTTCTAAATGTTCTTAAAAAGCTTTGTTCAGAGAGACGAAGAAAAAGAAGAAGAATATTTGGTGGGTTTTGTTTTTTTCAGTTGTAGACAAAAAAACAGAAACAAATATACAGCAAGGCATTATTTTACATGCAGGTATGTACTACTGAAGCAGCACTAAACCTATTAGAATATATGAAAACATGATAAACACAAAGTGCATGAAAAAAGACATGGGAAATTATCCTGTGTTCAGTTTTAAAAAAATAAATAAAAATAAACTAAAAATCAATACACAGTAAATTAATATTTTGGAGATGTTGGGGAATTTAGATCAAATCTCAAGCTTATCTCAAGCTTATCTCAAGCTTATCTCAAGCTTATCCAAGGAACTACAACCTGTAAAAAAATCCCCCTGCGCAGGAGCTATGCTCAGGATGACAACATGTTCTTTTTACTCAATGCCAGTCTGCCAATGAGGAAGTTCTTCCACATTAAGCATATGAAAATTCAAAATGCTTTAACCAGGGCTTTAAAAGGCCATGTTTTTAAAAGTACACAATGAGTTACTCTGTCAGCAAATTTTTCCACCTGAGGTGTGGATTTCTGCAGTTCCTCCTGTATAATATTGTTTAATAATAATGTTTCTTTTTTTTTTCTCAGCGTGTTTGGAAGATGACCCAGTAGGAAAAGCATCCCCTTATGTTTCTTTTTTGGACAGTGGCTTGAACATGATTGTTAGGTTCAATCCAATCCAATCCACTTTATTTATATAGCACGGTTTAAATAAACACAAGGTTTCCAAAGTGCTGCACAAAAAGATAAAATAACTAAAATAACTAAAATAAAATAAAATAAAAGCACTGCCCACACAGGATAAAAATATGCATGTGTATACATAAAATCAACATGTGTACATAAAATCAATACTCTACATGGTGTTAAAAGCCAAAGAAAAGAGGTGGGTTAATTGGCTTCTCTAGATTATCCTTAGGTGTGAGTGTGTGTGTGAATGGTTGTTTGTCCTGTTTGTCTCTGTGTTGCCCAGCAATGGACCGGCGACCTGTCCAGGGTGGACCCCGCCTCTCACCCTCGTGACCCCAGCAGGGATAAGCATGACGGAAAATGGATGGATGGATGGATGGATGGCTTGAACAGGTCCCTGGGAGATATCCAAGGCTTGTGAATTGATTCTATAACCCCAGCCTACATTACACCTTTTCAGAACTTTATTCTTTATTAATCTGATCCATTTAATTCATCCTCGCTGCTCATTAATGTTCTGTTAATCATTTGATGGAATGACAAATAATGGGATCTCATTTTCCAATTGAACTACTTCTTAAGGTAGTTGTTTGCAACAGGTTTTATTTAGTGTATGAAATTAAAAAATGAATAAAAATGGTAAAAAAAAAATTTCTACAAAATCTCAAACAAAATATGTTTAAGTAAATATAGTAAATAAATAATGAAAAAGGAGTTTGCAAAGCCCTAGTGTAACACGCAAGCCATCAGAATTACATTTCCTGGAGTTATTTTTCTTTACCAAATTTTAATCTTAATCTAAATATTCACTTTTTAAGATCTACCTAAACTGTAATTATTTATTCTAATCCTTTTCATCCACAGAAGTGCCTGCCCCACCCAAACAGTGCCATCTTCTGGACAAGACCTACTGAACATGTCAAGTACAGGCAGTTTTGAATGTTTATCTTACCTCCTTTAAAACAACTTTCTCCCTGGAAAAAACAGTAAATGACAAACTCGTTGTTATTGTTCATTAGATTTACTCCAATTAGGGTGGCAGCATGACCATATCTGGATAAAAGTAATATGCACTCGCAAAACTTTGGGGATATTTGGTGTCCAGATTAATTTAAGGGAAGATGTGAAATCTTCCAAGTACAGTGATATTATAATTAAAGTATGCTGTTTAAATAGATGCTTGGTGATTTAACCAATTTAAAAACATTATTGAAACCGAACCCAATAACAACAGTGCTGGTTATAGCACGAGAACAAAAAATACCAATGAATAATTCACTTCCGGTGTCCATTTAGCATCATTGACTGGTTGAATTGTAAAGTGCCTTGAGATGACATGTGTTGTGAATTAAATAATTAATTAATTAAGTAATGATCAATAATACTTAATAAAAAAATA